GGTGATCCAAAGCTAGGCAATACCAGCCGCCGACAACTTCCGAATGCTGGTCAAGAAAGGAATTTGTAGGAATATGTTGACGTAATACTCGCATTAATAGAATCCGATAACACCTCTGAAATTCCGCGAGAAATCACCTTTTATCACAAAATAGTTACGGTCAAGTTCCCGTTTAGCTTGCTGTTACTAGATTTCGTACCCGGCGTCTATCAAATGTTTTTGGCAGAAAATGTTTTTTTTTTACCGTGTGATTTCTTCTAAACAGGCTTATAAGCAGCTGCAGGCAAAATTGTGAACAAGACTTGATTTTTTTTAATCAACCTTTTCCAATTTGTATGAAGTTTCCGTAATTCTTTGTTGTAGGCAATGACTCACATTTTTTTGCTAAGATTCTGCCATTTTGGATCTTGTACAATTTTCAAAATAGTGTCTTTGAATTTTGTCATAGAAAATCTGATCAAAATGACGTCTAAGATAGAGTATTAGATAACAATAATGTCTTTCTGGGAAAAATAAAAAAAAAACCAGAAAATCTTCAAAACTTTAACATGGTTTACCAAATTATTTCAAAATGTCCACGTTTGATAAAAAAAACATATGAAAAGGTCATGAGAAATATGGGTACTTGAAAACTGGAAAAAAATCATAGAACAAGAACTTTTGGTCAAATTTTTATCTGAGTATAAATTACATGAAAAAACTTTTTATCAAAAAATTAAAAAATTGGACCAAAGTTTTTGCTCTACGATTTTTGTAAAATTTGAAGTGTCCATATTTTTAAACCAAGTTTGCATTTTTCATGAGCTTTTTAAAAAATAAGTTAAAAGCGACAAGGAAATTTTGAGATAATTCGGTTTTCAACATTTTTTTAATTTTTACTTGAAATAAATAGAAACGATTTTTTTGTATATTTTTACCCGAAAAAGTATAATTTTTCTCTACAGCTTTATCTCAGACGTTATTTCGATCAGTAGTGCCTTTTCCTTGCTACAATTTTATGAAAAATTTCATAGACGTCATTTTGAAAATTTAACAATATCCAAAATGACAAAATTTCATCAACAACAAATTTGCCCATAAAAAAACAAATATACAAAGTTTCAGGCAAATCGGAGAAGGTCGAGTTTTTACAATTCTTCATTTAGTGTGGAGCTGCTCCTCATACAAGTGCGAACAATTATACAAAATTTCATGAAGATAGGAAAGTGTCGGATCTGAAATTCGATAAATTTCTTATTATTATTTTTTTCATTTAGTCTTGAAAAATGTTTCCTTGGCAAAGTAGCTTGAAATCATCTCAACAACAACTTTGCTCAAGAACATACGTGTTTTTTTTTTAAATAAGAATGTTATTTTAAATATAATAATAATTTGAGACAAAGACGAAGAAGGAACTCTTCTAGCTGAAAAAGTTCACAGAAGACACTAAATCTCTAAAACGTAAGACTAAAGCACTAGGACTTTTGTCTTGCTAAATCCCATCCTGGGCCACTGTGCAATGGTTTTAGTTTTAAACTCTAATGTGATTATGACATGCCCAGGTGTGGCCGATGGGATTCTTAGCACTCTGTATGACTGCCATTGATCTTGTTTTTGAATTATCATGTGATTTGAAGTGTCGCATGATGGGTTTGACACGTTTCAGGTCGCTTCCAGCCTCGTGATCCGTACTCATCGGATCATATACAAGCCATATCTCCGAAATCATGACTAATTCTAAACGTACTCAATACCTTTCCATGGGACCTTTCATTTGGCGCATCAAAATTAGTGCAGTGGTTGTCGAGAAATACGTCCCTATTTATTTCGACGAGTTGAGTCGATTAGTATATGATATTTGACCCTCGGGAGCTCAGATCGAAAGTTGGTTTCCAAGTGGTATGCTAGAACATCAAAATAAACTAGAATTGAAAAAAAAATAGCATTATATAGGGGAACTGGATGTAATGTGGGCCTAAATTCCCCCAGATTGGGCCCATACATAAATTCAGCAATCGACTAAATTTACAATAGCGACCAAAAATATCCATTAGTGCCATCGCAATGACGCATTCATCTAGCAATGATAAATAGCAGATCTTTAGCGATGGGCCCAATCTTAGATCCATAGGCCAACATTAGAGCCATTTCCCGTATGCCAAAATGGGTACCTAAATTAAAACCCTTCAAATAATCATGACAAAGTTAAAAAATTCGCCGTCACACATCAAAATGACTTCGAAATCGTAAAAATAGCCCTAAAACTCCAAACAATGACATAAGCCTAAATTGCACAAGTGCTACAAAAAACTCGCATGAAATCAGATGTTCTAAGGCTGACAGATACGAGCGTCACTTTTGACAGAATATTAAATCTTAAACGACGTGAAATTTAGCTTAATCACACGTTCTTTTCATTTGTGCCAATCTGAGACTTTTTTTTTTCGAAAAAAACCAACATTTTATTAAAATACAAATAACTTAAAAATATTGTCAAACGACAAATCAGTTTAAAACTAGCCTTACGAGCATAAAAATGGTCTGAAATCGGTAAAATTTTGTGGTATTTTAAAGTCTGCTAAGCAAATAATGTGACCCTATCAGCCCAGTAATGTAAAGGGGCCTGGTATTGAACCCACGATCTTCTGCTATGTAAGCAAAAACGGTTGCCATTGGGCCACCGAGCCCCACACAGGATCGTTCAAGGCCAGGAGTCATAAATCTATTCAAACGAAAGGACGTCTCCTCAAAGTCCCTCGTATATCACTACAAACAACTGTCGCACAAAATGAAATATCATTGAAAAATGACAACTACAAAGGCACGCACAGAAAATTACCTCCTCGGAAAAAATCAACTTTGATTTTCGATCATGATTGTACCACAAATATCACTCTTCTCTTAACGATTCCCAAGCTCTTAAACATTGTTTCCTGAACCCAGTATACGATATACCCTTGCACTCGGTTGATACATTTATAGAATTATTAGAATTATCTCAGTTTCTCGCCAGTTTCATTACACTTGACGAAATATCCGCATTACACCGCTGGCCCTAAATAATGCACAGAAAGCATCTGTGCCTCAGTTCAACGTGAAACATATATAGTCCTCTCCATCAAATTCCTGTGTTGAGTGATAAAATTCCATTCAATGAAATTGAAATTAATTCAGATAGAAAATGTTATAAAAAATCGTTGAAGTGTCATTCAAATTGTTCTGTTTTGTACAACCATGTTAATTCAATCTGTCGGTCTGTTTCCATAACGTTAGCTTCCATAATAAATGTCTAAATATGCAATCGAAATGACAGCTAATTCATTTATTCAAACAATAGAAATTCCATTAATTCCCACTATCACTGTATACAAAAATAACTAAAACTCAATCTCATATACTCAAACGCAATGATTTATTGCTCAACTGCGCAGCCGCACCTAATCACATCCCGATCAATTCCGTTTGACCTTTCCAGTCAAATCAACAAAAAGCAATCCCATTTATAACCTCACCTGATATTTGGTCCACACTCACACACGGCGTGATTCGATAGTCCCAAGTCATGGTCCAATTCTGCGGCTTCCCTTCCCGGGCCCACACCTTCCCCCACCCACCAATAGTAGTATATATATAGCGGTGTGTCCTTATTTGGTGCAGTCTCTCTGACATTAAAGATAACACCAGAAACCAAACAAAGTCTCGTTGAAATCATAACCAGCTCATTGCCAACCAGCAGTCAGCCGGCAGTGAAAAATAAATGTCATCAATCTAATATGTGCTGCTGCTGTTGCTGCTGCGGTTATTCATTCCCTCCGATCAATTGTCAAGAACACGCGCTCGCAGAAGCCTTATAAACTGCGGTGGCGGAGGATAGTAGCAGACGCACAAAAAATCTTTAGATATAAATAATAACACAACAGCCAGAATTTACTACCTCATGCCTCCGAATAGATCTCTCTCTCTCTCTCTCTCTCTGGGCACCTCACCGGCACGCTGCTGATCAATCATTTCTGTGTTTCGTATCTCCTCCCTCGTTTTAGTAGGTTATTGCAGCGCCATCCCCAAATAACCACGTAATTGGCGCCAATCCAAATAAAGTCTGAATGTTTTCGGGAGATGTCTATCATCGCTTTGCATGAGAAGAATAAGTTGATACTTCCTTTCGATTTAATCGAATTTCCCTCGCAGGTCGCAGTTAATTACAGTATTTCAAAATGGCGGCAATCGTGGCGTGGTTATTAATTTTCCACATAAACTCTACCCGCAATCGTAGATAACGCCTACGTTAATTAAATTTTTACATTCCACCATCTTGATACTTGGTGAGGGCCATCCTGAAACACGCGAAATCAGGTGGAAACCAAACTATCTTTTGCTTAATTAATCAATTTATGCAATCTTGTTTGGAGTGAGTAAAGTCGTCGATATTTCTCCCTCTCTCGGCTCCAGAGGGCTCTTTTCTCGCCAAGTCAGCGCACGCGGACCAATCGAAATAAATTTTTATCAATTCAAGTTTCGCTGTAAAACGCACTTTTAGCCGTTCGGTTTTATCGATTTCAGTATCAGATGTAACGAGCGACGCGACGACGACTCGTGCGCTCCTTGGTGAACCTGCCCAAATCGATTACCAACGACACGCTGCTGGTTCGTTCGTGTGACTAATTGGTACACGACGGAACCACGCCAGATAAGCGGGGCCCACAGAACGAAGATTTATGTGATCCCGATTGCGATCTAAATCTGTGTCCCAGCCGGGCCATTGGTGTTGGGTTGGTGTAATTATACCTGTCCCCGTGTAGAGCAGTGAATGTAGGGAAAGGTCCGTATTTCGTCGTCGTCGTCGGTCGATGACAGAGTGACTGATAGTCATTATCAGTGTGTGCAATTTGTCTCCACAGTCTCCAACTCTACAGCAACAAGTGTCCCTTGCAGGATACATTCATTAATTCTAGTGTCACGACTTTCCCACAAATATTCTAATTGCATGTTTTCTCTCTCTCTCTCTCTCTCTTTCTTCACAGGTGTTGGTCGTTCAGCCCACATCGCCCTCGATACAGATTAAAGAACCTCCACCCAGCCCTGGAAGTCCTTCGGCTGAAAACATGTATGCAGCCCCCGGCACGATCTACGTGCAGGTAAGAAGACCTTACTCCGCGCCAAAAACAACAAATCGGAAAGTCTCTTCTATAAATCATTTCTCAAATCGCAGGCGATTATTTTGCGTTTTTTTTTGTCCACTCTCGGCTCAAATTCGCACTCAAGTCCTTCGCGCGACACTAATGCGAACGACCTGCCCGCGCGGTCCATGCGGACAAAATATAAACACATAAAAAAAAGAAGCTGGAGGACATAAAGTCGCCTCTAATCTGACACAAACCATCGGAAACTTGTTAGCAAAGTTTTCGGCCCAATACGCGCTTGATGCCTTAATTAGCTAGACAATCCGGATTAGGGGTGGCAGACTGGCAACACTGCTGTCAACGTGACAGCTGATTGTGGTTTGATGTTTTCACCAGCTGCTTCGAGAGCTTTTCTCCTAAAACCAACCAGAGAATATTAGCATATTTACATAAACGAAGCCAACCGGACGGCCCCTCGAAATGCTACACGCACAAGTTGCCAAGATTGACAGCTCCCCAAAAGTCAACTTTCAATGCTGCTGCGGGATGATGTGTCTGTTCCCTTCTTCTTCTCCATCATCATTTTCGAGGCTGACATTAAGGTCCCACTGCCATTATCTAAGGGTTGACTGGACAACTCTCTGCATTTTAATTAGATTGAGAAATGATTTCACTTTTCGAACTGTCACTCCGATAGGCCTTCTGGTCGGCTTCTGGTGCACACACGGGCATGGAATGTTAACCTACTTATTATTGATTGGTGATTTAATTTTTTTGTTTTGTCTTCTGCTTCACAGGGTCCATCACATCAGGCCAGTTCGGCTGCGACAGCAGGTTCCAATGTGAACACCAATTCGCCCAGTCCCAGCTTCTACGACCAGCATGGAATGTACCAGCAGAGATTGGGGTGAGTAGCAGTTTGAAGCGATGATTGTCGATGTTTGTTCGATGTTCATGGATTTGTAACTCTTTACAGACCTGGCGGTGCGGCGTTCATTGCCGATCAGTACCCGTATCGCGAGTATTTCGATCCACAGGGCTATGCCCCTGCCCGTACCATTTATGGTACGTCGGACTCGGATGGGCCCCAGCCAGCAACGACCTACGAGGGTCGCTACTCGTCCAAGACGGGTTCGATCTACACCAAAACCATCACCTCCGCCGCCGGACTGACCGTGGATCTTCCCAGTCCTGATTCGGGTATTGGTGCCGATGCTATTACTCCCAGAGATCAGAATAATGTACAACCGTCCTTCGATTATACAGAACTGTGCCAGGCACCGACCGGTTTGCTGGATCCAAACTCTAGCGCCATACCGGCATCGGTCGCAAGCCTGCAGCGGAACCTGGTGGTCAACGGTGGCCAGAACAGTCCCACGACCTCGATTGGCAGTGCGACAGCTCCGCCTCGGTCCCGACCGTGGCACGACTTCGGACGGCAGAATGACGCCGACAAAGTGCAAATACCAAAAATGTAAGTACCCTCATCTTCCCCCGACTTTGATCTCAACCAAAACTGTCAAAATGGCGCTCCGATTGCCGAAAAGTAAATCTCCAACCGCGTTTGAAATCTCAAGATCCCGTCCCATTCGTCGCCGTCGTAATTAGGTGTGATTCCAAGCAACTACTCAAGTCCCATTAACACAGCCATTAGGTGGGGCAGGAAGGCACGACCGATTCAATTACTCACACAACAAACAAAGAGCTGGCGAGTGTAATCACGAGCTCCCAGAACAGGCCCTCGTCTCGAGCTCAATCAAATCGTCATCAGATCCCTGGTTGATGGATTAACCGAAATGGACCTTTTCCCGCCTGACTTAAGCGCTGAGTTGTGTGTTATTACCCATCCCGATCCAGTGCGCCACACCGCCGGAGGGCACTCCGTTAAATCCAGACCAAACGAGCCAAGAGTACTAATTGAAATTTAATCTCCTTTCCCCGTACGTACGTACACGTACCTACACTTCGCACCGGGAAAAGGATCTCACCCGAACGAACGAACGAATGAATGAATGAATGAATGCAAAGCTTTTCCCTTAAGTGAGGACAACAACTGCAGCTTAAGATAAGTGGCCTGGCGCTCCGTCTCCGCCAGGCCTAATGAATCGCAACCTGGCTGCACTTGTCGTCCCGTTCCCATTCTTCAACCAATAAGAGGAAAACCGTTGCAATTGCGCTGGAAAAAAAAGTTTAATTGCAATTTAATTGCATTACTATCGCGAGCCGCCGCCGTAGTGCTCTGATTTGATTTCATTTTAATGGAAATGCCGTTAAGTTGCGGCACTTGTTCGCCATCTCCTGATTTGTCCCTGATGGGTTCCGTTGACCGTGTTGTTGCTGCTTCATTGATCCGATAACGAAACGTCATCTGTTGTGGTATCCGCTCGCACGCACGCACGCACGCACGCACGTTTGTAGTCGAGGAGAGGAAGTGATCTATTTTCGTCTGCTAAACCACCGCCAACGAACTTGAGAAATGTCGCACAAACAAACACTGAAGTAAGCGTCGGTTGGTGCTGCACAGGGGACAGGAAGGCGAAGGAAGCCATATTTGCATTTAAATCTATTTAATGATTTCCTTTTCAATATTTTGCTGGGACTGGTTGTCTGGTCGCTATGATAAATTTACTGCGCAAGACGATCATAGGACAATTGGATTAATATTTGGATCGTGCTGAGGTGGATAAAGTTTGCTCAATGTCTCTAATAAGATTTGCACAGTTTTTCCCGAACAGAAGTTTGACATCAATTCGTATAACCTGATGGACAATTTTACCGTGTGCACTTTTGGTCGAATTGATATTTGGTCACCCTTAAATTTTACATGAACAAGTTTGATGCATTTTATCAGTTATTTTATAATAGCTTTCAAAAATTTCATACATTTATACACAATTTACAACTCCATATTACAGTAATTACTCGATTTTTTCAGTCCCCTTTTTGAAAATCTTCTTTAATGTTCTTCGAAACCCATGCGCTTTTTCAGTGTTCTTATTGCACCAAAACATAACTTAACAAACAATCATCTTTAAGTTGAATTAGATAGATTTGGAATTACGGTGTGAAATTTTTGAGAGATAAAAGTTTGTTAAAGTGCGTGGAGGGGACATTACTGTATTCCTAATCGGAAAGGGAATCAAACCTAACAATTCCAAAATGAAATACCGCGACTTTTCAGGGGCTAGGCTATCGGTGGGAAAATATCACTTTTGACATACAGACGATAGACCGAATGAACGTTTGGCATAAATATGTTAGGCTGAATAGACTGTTGGCTGAATTAACGTGGCATTAACACCTTATACACATTTGGTCCAATAGTAATTTCGCCACATTGCCACGTGCAATTTTGGTATGAACAAGTTAGATGCCTTTACGTAAAAAAAGACAATTAGGTAGTATATTTTGTTATTAAGTTACAGAGAAGGATTAGTAATTTCCACTTAATTTCACTACCTGTTAGGCAAAAATGCGTATTTTGTCTACAATGTGCAGACTTCTTCGGTGTTTGTTTTCATTAAAGACGTCTACGCATTGTAGACGAAATACGTGTATCTGTCAAGAAGGTAGAGGAATTAAATTGACCTTCCTAATCCTTCTCTCATTATTTATACTGGTATTCCACTATAGACACCCACATTCATCAGTATATTTTGTTATATGATATAAAGTTATGTTTTTCATATCCAGTTTTAATTTTTTGTTGTTCAAAAAATTTGGTTTATTTTCCACAATCTTCAGCATCAGCTCTATAAAAGAACACTACTTTTTTTTTAATTTAAAAAATCCTAAAATGTTTCGTTTTGATCATTTGCTGTTCATTCACTCATTATATAAAGCATCTATGTTTTCGTAATATTAAAATAGGGAAATTTCCTTCAAATCATCAGAAACTCATGCTAGGTCATTAAATCCAATGACCTGAATTAAGCCGGATGCCAGAAAATTATTATTTACACATACTAAATAAAACGCTCGTAATTGAAAAGAGAACGAATTACATATACAAGAAAGACAACATATTTGAACATTATGTACATTATTTGGCGAAGAATTGAATGCAGTCTGACCTCGTTTAATCATCTCAAATGAAGGAAAAGTCTTCTATAGAAATCTTAGTCAAATTAAACAAAAAAGGAAAGTTATTTTTATTTTTGGATTGGATGATTTAAATCAACATATTCCTAAAAATTCTTCAAAAACATTTTAATGTTTGCATATCATTCTAAAGGGACACGTCAGGACTTTCATTGTGCATATTTATAAATTTCAGCGATTTCATTGGATTTTTTAAAAATGAGTTTTTCATAAGCTTACCTATCACTAATTTAAAAATTAAGCACGCCATTTGAAAGCTCTGACTTTTTCTATAGAGAATTTCCGGCTAAAACGCAAACCGGTTGGACATGAGTGTTTCCGGAATGAAACATTATTCATATGTTTGCTGCTACCAATGGTTGCATTTTTCATCTAAATATGATTTTTCTCAAGAGTAACTACTTTTTTTTATTTATTTTCTCAGAGAACATTTGATTACCTACAACTTCTTCTCAGATGTCATTTTGATCAAATAAATCATTTTCGTGTTATGATTTTTTGAAAAAAATATAATCCATTTTTTTTGAATACGCCCTATTCAAAAGTTAATCTACAGCAAAAAAATATATATCCAGATGAAAAATTTCACCATTGGTAGTAGCGAACATGTGAGCAATGTTTCATTCAATCGGAAAGGGTCGAGACAAAACTAGCATTTTTTTAACGTTTTGCGATGATGAATCTCAATCCATAACAGTTGGCGCTTGTATTCGTTATGTACGTTTGGAACATTTCTCATACAGGTCTAGATTTGTCTTCACTGAAATCAAATATCACTTTGTCAGAACTTGTCAACATCCACATTGATATCAGAACGTAAATAGTTTCCAAATGCCTATGTGAAGTTTTGCGTTATCGATGAAAACGATATCTACACAGCCCTACAAGGGCCTCCCATCTATCAATGACAAAAACTATTTTTATCCTAGCCGAACCTTCAAGCCAGCAGACCAAATGACTCCGGGAAACAGTTTCTGTTACAATTTTAATGTCTGCAGAACAGCCTCCGATTCCCATTTCCTTCGGAAACCTCCTATCCGTGTGAATATGACCTTACTTCTACGCCCATCACTATGCTCCGTCCCATTCAACGTTGGTGTTCCGCACAAATGGCGAAACCGAACCTACACGTCCCAGTCCCGGTCGAACGAAATAAATCGCCTCGCAAGTCATTCTCGAGGGAAACGCTCTGGCATTCCCCTCACCTTGCCGTCAGTCATCGTCCGTGCAGCCAATTTGCAAAGGGATGCACAGAGCGTAAAACCACAAACAAACATTTTTCACAAAAACCCGCAAAAATGTCTTCCCCGTCCGTACGATACGAACGAGACCACAGCTCGACAAAAAACGCACATAAAATAAACATAAAGATAATCATAATCTTTATTATAACGATATATACATACATCTCTCCATTATTCATCCCGAATGGTTGCTGCGGCGAGTGGTCTCGATTGTCGTCGTTTTTGCCCCTTTTCCTGGCGTGCTCCAGCGAACCCATGCACCATCATCAGCATCCGACGACGACAACGACGACGACGAGGTGGATAATTGGTATCATAGATCAATTATTTTATGTCCGCTCGGAACAAGTGAATTTGTTTATCCCGCGCACTGTCAAAACATCCACGACGACGCCGACGACGACGACGACAAACGGCATCGAATTTGAATTTTTGCACTAATTTTTCGTCCCCTCGAGAGACGATTCCCGTGCCTTGCCTGGAAGGATATCCTACATACATTTATTCATGCATTTCAGTTTTGGCTTTCTCCATATTCAATTCCGCAAAGAAATTCATTTCGATGCATAACTGAATGAATAATCTCGCCCGAATGCAGCGGCGGCGGGGGTCATATTTCTTCTTCTCACGGTGCGCCACAATTGACAATTCGTTGAAATGCTGCTGCTGAGATATGCAAGACGTCCTCCGCCACCCACCGCCCGGCTGACAGAAGATACGGTCAGCGAAAACAAAACACTGGCTGGCGTCCACTCGGGTTCTGACGTTAATCCCACAGTGACAGCTGAATGACAGGAAAACAACGGGTGGAGAATTAGCATTTGTGTGTGGATGAATGTTTGCTTTTTTGTGTTGATACTAGAAGGTGTCATGAACTCCGAAATCCTACAATCGACCGGACACCCGTCCGTCCCGTCCCATCGATCAACATTGTAACGGTCATTAACGCACACTGCACACGATCGGACCAAAAACAGTAGCCGCACGTTATTCGAACCATGTCCGATGCATTTGTCAGCTTCTCGGAAAACTCCCCCGTCGTCGTTGCCGTCTGCTGTGCCACGACCAGAGCATAAACGTGCAATAGATAAAGACCGAGATTGAAGGAATTAAAGATCAATTAGTTGCC